AGAATCATATGTTCCTTCTGGGTTCTATTGGTTAGGATCTAATGGTACCATAACTTAAACCAATAACTGTACCCTGTCCCTAGCGGGTATGTTAGGGTTTTGTTTTGTAGTGGTTATGGTAGTTTTGGTTAATCTGTGATGTTGTACATTTATGATGATGTTTTTGTTGTAATAAGGACATGTAGGGATTCATTTTATATTGTTAAACTATTAAAGTTTCTTTTGGTGTGTTTTCTTTGGGTACAATGGCTTGGCGGGCAACTATTAATGACTGATAAAACTTTAGTGAGGTTTGTCTTAGCGTGTATTGTTTTGCTATAACAAGATGTTATAATCTTGTTCCCGCAAGGAAAAAAACCCTGGTACTAGTAGAACAAAACAATGTTTTGTATTCCTGTACTTTATTATGCATCCTTTGTACTTTTGTAAGCTTTCTAATAAAAATATAAAAAAAAAAATATTGATAATGTGTTTAATCACATGAGTGGCTACGATAACTTTTTTAATGTTCAATATTGTTATTATTTACCCACATGAGAGTGGCTATAATATTAACTTGTTTAATGTTTAACATCGATAATGAGTTTAACAATGTGAGATTGGCAATGGTGTTAACTTTTTAATGTTACATATTGTTATCGTGTTTAAGCACGTGAGTGCCTAGGGTTTCAACTAGTTGAGGGACGGGGGGGGTGGGGTTGTGGGGCGGGGGGTTGTGGGCGGTGGGGGTTGTGGGGCGGGTGGGGTGTGGGGGGTGGGGTTGTGGAAGTGTTGGTTGTTAGTGTTAGCATCAGTGTATAATGAAGATCTTTGTGATATATGTAACACTGTATTTCTGGGTAGATTGTAGGTTGTGTTAGGTTATCTTAAGGTAAACTTAGTATGTTCACTAAGTGGACCGTGGTAGTACGTGTGTTGAATGTTCTGTCATTACATGTACCATTTCATGGTATGTTTATTTTGCATCTTGTAATAGAATTTTAAATAAAATATAAAAATAAAAAAAAAAAATTCAAGTTACAGAAACGTTGGGCTGTTATTGTATGTATAATGTTATGTCTTTTACTTGCGGGTGTTTCCTGCTCATTTTTTCTGTGGTATGTGTTATTGCACTGTTTATTGTAGGCTTGGTTTGCCTACTGTTTAAGCTAATGTAATGTATAATTATATCTTTTGTATGTTGTGTTATAATTTCTGTGTACTTTGTGCAAGGGGTTTTATTGTACAGAGCTGTGGGGGGTTTTGTGTATGCACAGGCATAAATTGTGAGGTTTTGTTTTGTTAATGTCAATTTCTGTGCAGGAGCTATCTTGTTATTTTCATTCTGTTAGGTGTTTACTGCTCATTGTTTAGGCGGGAAGTTTTATTGTGGTATGTGTCATTGCACTGTTTATTGTAGGCTTAGGTTTGCCTTTTGTTTAAGTTATTGTAATATATAACTTTATCTTTTGTATGCTGTATTATATTTTGTTTACTTTGGAAGGGGTCTTATTGTACAGTGTTTTGGTGGGTTTGTGTTTACACAATGCATGAATTGTGAGGTTTTGACTTTGTTAATGTAATTTTCTGTGCAGGAGCCATCTTGCTCTTTTCATTCCGTTAGGTGATGGAATATCCTTTAGTAAAAATATGAACAAAACATTCAGGATATGTAATGGGGTTGATGGTAGGTCATTGTATTTGCAAATGGCTAATTCATGTGTTATTTAATTATTTATATGTTGTGCTGTATTTAAATAAAATAAAAAAAATAAAATTACCTCTAAAACTTATGTAAACATATTTTTTTCACGTTTTTCAGTGTTTAAAATAACCAGTGTTATATGTATGTAACGTTTTAAATAAAATATAAAAAAAAATATTACACAGAACAGTGTATCAACATAATGCTGGTGTTCCCACTGTGTAACTATCACATAGAACAGTGTATCAACATAATGCTGGTATTCCCACTGTGTAACTATCACATAGAAAACATGTAACATTTGCGGGTTTTTCCCACTGTGTAACTATCACATGAACAGTGTAGCAACATAATGCGGTGTTCCCCACTGTGAACTCCCCCAAAAACCCAGTGTAGCAACACAATGCTGGTGTTCCCACTGTGTAACTATCACATAGAACAGTGTAGCAACACACTGCTGGTGTTCCCACTGTGTAACTATCACATAGAACAGTGTATCAACATAATGCTGGTTTTCCCCACTGTGTAATTTATCACAAGAACAGTTGTACAACATAATGCTGGGTTCCCACGTGTAACTACCTTTAGAACAGTGTACAACACAAGCTGGTTTTCCCACTGTGTAACTATCACATAAACATGTAGCAACACCTGTGGTGTTCCCACTGTAACTACACATAGAACAGTGTATCAACTAATGCTGGTTTTCCCACTGTGTAACTATCAAAAAAGAACATGAATACAAATAAACTGGGTTCCACTGTGTAACTATCCATAAAGTGTCAACAAATGCGGTGTTTCCTCATTGTACTATACATAGGAACTTAGCACATACAATGGGTTTCCCACTGTTTATCACAAAATGTAAATCACATCTTTGTATTATGTGTACTACTAAACATGTAGAACAAACTTGTTCCACTGTAATTTATCACAGCATAACATTGTATTGTTTACATAATTTCTGGTGCACCACTTGTTATCATCATGATAGTGTAAACTAATGTTAGGTGTTTCCCACTGTGTACTATCATCAGCAACAGTGTATGCAACATAATGCTGGTGTTTCCCATGTGTAATATCAACAGAACTTTGTAGCAACACAATGCTGGTGTTCCCACTGTTGCAAGTCTTATGACAGTTAGCAATACACTGTGGTGTTCCCCCCACTGTGTAACATCATATAGAACATGTAGCAACACGCTGCTAGGTTTTCCACTTGTGTAATAATTTTCATATAGACAGTGTTCAGCACACTGCTAGTGTTTCATTCCCTAGTGTAACTAATCATTAGAAACAGATATACAAACACACTGCTGGTATGTTTCCATTGATGTAGCTATTATATTAGATAGTGTTGATTTAACTGTGGTTTTCATGTGTAGCTATTATAAATAGTAAGCAACAAATGTAAATTCCCACTGTGTAATATCACATAGAACAGTGTAGCAACACAATGTGGTGTTTCCCACTGTGTTAACTATCAAAGAACAGTGTTCAACATAAATCTGTGTTCCCATGTGTAACTATCACATAGAACAGTGTACAAACACAATGTGGTGTACCACTGTGTAACTACACCAGAACAGTGAGGTGGCCCTAATGGCTGGTGTAAGTCCCCTGTTCAACTACGGAGGGCCGGGTTCGAATTCGGGTGGAACATTCGACGTTTCCTACACTGTTGTCCTTCACCTAGCAGCAATAGGTAAACCATGGGTGTTTCGACTGTGTGATCGCATCCTGGGGGCACAAGATAAGGACCCACAATGGAAATAGTTAGACAGTCACATGAGCAACTGACTTTCTTGGTGTTATCCTGGTGGCTAACCCTCCGGGTTAAAATCCGAAGAAACTTACTTATCTAGCAACACAATGCTGGTGTTCCCACTGTGTAACTATCACATAGAACAGTGTAGCAACACAATGCTGGTGTTCCCACTGTGTAACTATCACACAGAACAGTGTAGCAACACAATGCTGGTGTTCCCACTGTGCAACTATCACATAGAACAGTATAGCAACACACTGCTGGTGTTCCCCCCACTGTGTAACTATCATATAGAACAGTGTAGCAACACACTGCTAGTGTTTCCACTGTGTAACTATCATATAGAACAGTGTAGCAGCACACTGCTAGTGTTCCCACTGTGTAACTATCATATAGAACAGTATAGCAACACACTGCTGGTGTTTCCACTGTGTAGCTATTATATAGAATAGTGTAGCAGCACACTGCTGGTGTTTCCACTGTGTAGCTATTATATAGAATAGTGTAGCAACACACTTCTGGTGTTTCCACTGTGTAGCTATTATATAGAACAGTGTAGCAACACACTGCTGGTGTTCCCACTGTGTTACTATCATATAGAACAGTGTAGCAACACAATGCTGGTGTTCCCACTGTGTAACTATCACATAGAACAGTGTAGCAACACAATGCTGGTGTTCCCACTGTGTAACTATCACACAGAACAGTGTAGCAACACAATGCTGGTGTTCCCACTGTGCAACTATCACATAGAACAGTATAGCAACACACTGCTGGTGTTCCCCCCACTGTGTAACTATCATATAGAACAGTGTAGCAACACACTGCTAGTGTTTCCACTGTGTAACTATCATATAGAACAGTGTAGCAGCACACTGCTAGTGTTCCCACTGTGTAACTATCATATAGAACAGTATAGCAACACACTGCTGGTGTTTCCACTGTGTAGCTATTATATAGAATAGTGTAGCAGCACACTGCTGGTGTTTCCACTGTGTAGCTATTATATAGAATAGTGTAGCAACACACTTCTGGTGTTTCCACTGTGTAGCTATTATATAGAACAGTGTAGCAACACACTGCTGGTGTTCCCACTGTGTACTATCATATAGAACAGTGTAGCAACACACTGCTGGTGTTCCCACTGTGTTACTATCATATAGAACAGTGTAGCAACACACTGCTGGTGTTCCCACTGTGTAACTATCATATAGAACAGTGTAGCAGCACACTGCTGGTGATCCCATTGTGTTACTATCTTATAGAACAGTGTAGCAACACACTGCTGGTGTTCCCACTGTGTTACTATCATATAGAACAGTGTAGCAACACACTGCTGGTGTTCGCACTGTGTAATCATATAGAACAATGTAGCAACACACTTCTGGTGTTTCCACTGTGTAACCTATCATATAGAATAGTGTAGCAACACACTGCTGGTGTTCCCACTCTTTAATTACCATATTGAGCATGTCAGTACACTGCTAATGTATCCAGATTTATTTAATACAACGTGCGTCAGTCCCTCATTGACTATCTGACCTACAGGGTGACGGAGAGCAAGAACACCAAGTGGCCAGTGGGAACGTATATGGTGTGCTATGCTGGATGGAGGACCCACACGGTGTACACCGCCAAGCAGCTTCAAGAAGGCTCTGCGGAGATGATCTCGCCGCTGCCAGACCTGCAAGACCTGCCCAAGAGTTTAAGTCTGGGTGCCGTGGGTATGCCTGGGTACGTCTAGGGCATTTAAGTTATTTCTTAATATATTGATGAGTAAGATACATGTGCAATCCTTGGGTATGTTTATCGTGAAGCGTTTCGACAACTGACTTCCTGAGTCAGTACAAAAGAATGGTTGATGATCTTTCCAAATGTTCTTATTTTGATGATATGATCAGCCCAACAGTACTTATCAAGACTGAGGGCGATTAACTCTTCTGAATCTCGACAATTCTTCTCTGTATTGAGACTGAGAAAGCCACATGATGGTATTATAACAGCTTCTCGTAAGATAGATAGTCTCGCACAATGTCTTAATTATCAGCCTGTTGCTTCTGAACCATACTATATCTTAGTCTCACACGACACAATCCTCTTCACTACTTATGTCTTAATCTTCAGTGCCAATCCTCTCACTAACTATGATGTTAAATAGAGGTCTTCAGTGTTCCAATCGTCCTTCACTACTTTGTGTTCTGAGGTCTCAGTGTTCCAATCTCCTACATACTTTGTGTTCATAGTCTTCAGTGTTCCAATCCTCATCACACTTTGAGTCCTTAGGTCCTCATGTTCCTCCTCCTTCAATACTTCGATGATCTGAGATTCTTTCAGTGTTCCTCCTGCATCATACCTCGTGTTCCTGAGCTATTCATAACTGGAGGCTTCCTTCCACAGTAACGGCTACTTCGGCTTCTTGACTGTGTAAGCTAGCTAGAGAAACTGTCTGGTGAAATGCTGCTGCAGAGCCGTGGCAGCATTGTGGTTGCAGTCGCTAAATCAAAGGTCAGATCAACATTTTATCCATCCCTCACACTGGATTCATTCACCCGATAAAATTCGTGAGGAAGATACCAAACGTGAAGATATAACATTGCTTTACCCCGAGACAGTGTTTCGCTCTGGCAGAACTTTCAGGGACGAAGCATTGTCCATTATGCAGGCACGTAAATACTACCGTTGACGAACATCCGGCGTATATGTACGTGGAAGCGTTTTCGGGGACTACCAGTGACTTCTGAGTCCGTCAAAGAATGGTTGATGATCAGTTCCTCAGCCTGGACTGAGTGATCAGCCCAACTTTATCAAGACTGAGGGGTGATTTAAATCTTTCTGATATTCGACCCTTCTTCCTGTATTTGGGCTGAGGAAAGCCATGGTTGGTTTTTAACGCTTCCCCCCGAAAAAATAAATAGTCTCGCACAAGTGTCTTAATTCTCACCTTTGCTCTTGAACAGTTTCTTTTTCTTATCTCTAAGAACACCAATCTTTCCCTTCATACTTTGATGTTTCCCTTAAAACTTTGTGTTCCAAACCTCCCTTTACTACTTGATGGTTCCTTAGGTCTCGTGTTCCAATCTTCCTTCACTATTTGATGTTCCCTTTGGTTTCATGTTCCAAACTTCCTTCACTACTTTGATGTTCCTTAGTCCTCATGTTTCCCAAACCTCCTTTACTACTTTTATTTCCTTAAATCTTCGTGTTTCCCTCCTCCTTTATCTTTATGTTTCCCTTTAAAACTTCATGTTCCCAAACCTCCTTCATACTTTTGTGTTCCCTTTAAAACTTTTGTTCCAATCCCCCTTCAAACTTTGATGTTCTTAGGTCTTCAGGTTTTTCCAATCTTCCTTCACACTTTGATGTTCCCTTTGGCTTCATGTTCCAATCCTCCTTACTACTTTGTGTTCCTTAGGGCTTCAGTGTTCCCAAACCCCCTTCACTATTCGATGATCCTGGCTTCAGTGTTCCTCCCCACTCCTACCTGATGTTTGAGGTCTATTCATAACTGGAGGCTTCCTTCCCACAGTAAAAACGGGCCCATTCGGGCTCTTGAGCTGTGTAAGCCTAGGCTGGAGAAAATGTCCTGGGGAACGGCTGCAGGAGCTGTGGGCAGCATTGTGGTGCAGATCGCTAAACTCAAAGGTCAGATCAACATTTATATCCATCCCTCACACTGGATTCATTCACAGATAAAATTCGTGAAGGCAGAGATACAAACTTGAATAAATATAACATCTGCTTTCACCGAGACAGTGTTTCGCTCTGTGCCAGAACTTTATCAGGGTACGAAGCATTGTCCATTATGCACGGGCACGTATATATATACGTACCGTTGACGAACATCCGGCGTATACCTGTGACGATGGTGCGCTTGTTGTCGGGGGTTGGGAGGGTCGTGAGTCTGAGTTAATTTCCGTGGTTAATGCTGGAAGGTGGACTAACAAGGCGATCAGAGTACCTGATTGAACCAGTGTCAGGGTATGCCAGGGTAGGCTAAGGTATATCAGGGTATATTATGAAATTTCAGAGTATGTCAGGGTGTTTCAGGGTATATCAGGGTATTTCAGGGTATGATAGGGCATGCTAGGGTATGCCAGGGCATGATAGGGTATGTCAGGGTATGCCAGGGAATGTCATGGCATGCCAGAGTATGCTAGGTTATGCCAGGGTATGTCTGGGCATTCCAGGGTATGTCTGGACATACCAAGGTATGCCAGAGCATGTTATGGTATGTCAGGGTATGCCAGGGCATGCCAGGGTATGCTAGGATATGTCAGGGTATGGCAGGTTATGCTAAGGTATGCCAGGGTATCCCAGGGCAACCCAGGGTATATCAGGGTATGCCAAGATATGCCAGGGTATGCCAAGGTATGCCAGGGTATGCTAAGGTATGCCAGGGTATGGTAGGTTGGACACTTACCCTGATGGAACACCATTCCCCATGAAGGTACGATTGCCCCTTATGGGTTTAGCGCCGCCCCATGAATATAATCCAGTTAATATTGTTATTATTATTATATTATTATTATTATTATTATTATTATTATTATTATTATTATTATTATTATTATTATTATTATTATCATCATCATAGTATCATCAGTAGCAGGAGTCGAAAATCACAAAGCATATATATCGCCCTCTCCGCATCTACTATCTACCATACCTCTGTTATACCTTTGATGAGTTGTGAGACTCTTACTACTCTCGGAGCCCGGCCCTAGGCCAGGCTTGTCTGGTGCTTGCCTGGTTAACCAGGCTGTTGCTGCTGGTGCGGATCTGATGGTGGATGCCGTTAGTATATGGCTGTTTTAACATGTTAAATGTAAAGTTAGGTTAGGTTAATATTGCGTCTGAAGGCTACACGAGGGTCATCATGGCTGCATGGCGCCTGTACACCACCAGTCAAGAATACTTTAATACCTAAAATACTGACTGAAATTTACACTCTCAGTGTATATACCCTGAGATAGGAGCACTTTTCACTGTATACACACTGGGAGAGGCACATTTCTCAGTATATACACTGGGAGAGGCACATTTCTCAGTATATATACACTGGGAGAGGCACATTTCTCAGTGTATATACACTGGAGAGGCACATTTCTCAGTATATGTACACTAGGAGAGGCCGCATTTCTGAGTGTATATACACTGGGAGAGGCACATTTGTCAGTTATATACACTGGGAGAGGCACATTTCTCAGTATATATACACTGGGAGAGGCGCATTTGTCAGTATATATACACTGGGAGAGGCACATTTCTCAGTATATACATGGGAGAGGCACATTCTCAGTATATACCTGGGAGAGCACATTTCACAGTATACACACTGGGAGAGGCACATTTCTCAGTGTATACACTGGGAGAGGCACATTTCTCAGTATATATACACTGGGAGAGGCACATTTCTCAGTGTATATACACTGGGAGAGGCGCATTTCTCAGTGTATATACAATGGGAGAAGCCTATTTCTCAGTGTATATACATTGGGAGAGGCACATCTCTCAGTGTATATACACTGGGAGAGGCATATTTCTTAGTATATATACACTGGGAGAGGGACATTTCTCAGTGTATATACATTGTGAGAGCATATTTCTCAGCGTATATACACTGGGAGAGGCACATTTCCCAGTGTATATACACCGAGGTGCACCTCTCAATATATATACACTAAGACTGACCTCACAGTAAATACATGTATGTTAGAGCGTGTGTGTGTTTGGTCACACAGGTTGCAGGGTGATTGCCTCGGCAGGGTCACAGGACAAGTGTGCCTGGGTAAAGCAGCTGGGTGCTGACCATGTCTTCAACTACAAGACCAAGAGTGTCAGCGAGGCACTCAAGGAACTGGCACCAGAGGGCGTCCACTGCTACTTTGATAATGTGAGTTACCCCTCTCTCTCTCTCTCTCTCTCGTGTACTGTGTCAAGGTCGCTTATCAACAGTATTGTATTTCACATTATCAGAACGTAACCAAGCGAGTGCTGTCAGAGTTATTTTCTTTGATAGTTTTTGTTTCGGTTTTGACAGGTAGGGGGCCAGTTCTCCCTGGAGGCGCTGCCACACATGACTGACTTCGGCAGAGTGGCACTCTGTGGTGCCATTTCTACTTACAACCACGAGGATAAAGGCATCCTCAAGGCTGATAGTGAGTTTGTACACACACACACACACACACACACACACACACACACACACACACACACACACACACACACACACACACACACACACACACACAAACACACACACACACACATTACGAGTGAATATAACCTTTAGTATCTCTTAGGGGTAAGAATTTACCTTACAAACTTAAAACTCACCATGAAACATTTCTTCCTGGTAATCACATATTAACCCACCGTCTGCAAAGTTTTGGTACTCTGAACGAACCCTTCCACCGGCTTTTAGTAATCCACTGCATCAAAATGTTACAGATAACATCCATTTGAGTTTGTATTAACGTAACCTGGTACCATAACAGGTCCGTACAGCCCAATGTTGATGATCTCCAAGCAACTGCGTGTGGAGGGTTTTATTGTGCTTCGCTGGCAGTCCCGCTGGATGGAAGGACTGAATCAGTTGAAGCAGTGGGTTGTGGAGGTGAGTACGTGCAATCTCATGACCACTCACCTAGATAAAACAGTGAGTACATGCACTCTCAGTTACACACTCCTGATTACTCACCTAAAGTAGTGAGTCCTGGACCTAGATAAAACAGTGAGTACATGCACTCTCAGTTACACACTCCTGATTACTCACCTAAAGTAGTGAGTCCTGGAGGTGAGTACACACACTCACACACTCATAGTCACTCACCTAGATGAAGCAATGAGTCCTGAAAATGAGTACATACGCTCACTGTTACACCCACGAGTCCGGATATTGGTAAGTGCTATATTAAGCAGGGTGTACTCAGTATACGAGAGATACTACAAGAATGTACAGTCCACTGAGAGTGGACCTAGTAGCGAAGAGGCGGGACCAGGAGCTGTGAATCGACACCTGCAACCACAAATAGATCAGTACAAATAGGTGAGTACTCTACAGTGAGTGAAACGCTTCACCAAAGACTCACAGTTAGCACAGTAACCTCATGACGACGTTTCTACCCATGACGACATTTCTACCCATAACGACATTTCCATCCATAATTACTTTTCGACCCATGACGTTTCGAACCATGACGACGTTTCGGCCCATGACTTTTCTACCCATAATGATGTTGCGTCCCATAACGTTTCTACCCGTAACAACGTTGTGACCCATATCGACGTTTTGACCCATAACGACGTTTCGACCATAGACGTTTCGACCCATCATGACGTTTCGACCCATAATGACGTTTCGACCCATAACTACGTCTCTACCCATAACGAGGTTTCTATCCATAACGACGTTTCGGTCCACAACGACGTTTCTACCCATAACGATGTTTCTATCAATAACAATGTTTCGACCCATAACGATGTTTCGGCATAACGACGTTTCGGCCCATAACGACATTTCTTCCCATAATGACTTTGCAAGCATAACGACGTTTCGACCCATAACGTTTCGACCCATAACGTTTCGGCCCATAACGACGCATCGATCCATAGCGACGTTTCGATCCATAGCGACGTTTCGACCCATAACTACGTTTCGACCCATACTAGGTTTCGACCCATAACGACGTTGCAGCCCATAACGACATTTCAACCCATAATGACATTGGGACCCATAACGACGTTTTGACTCTTGACGTTTCGACCCATAATGACTTTTCGACCCATGATGAAGCTCTGACCCATAACGACGTTTGTACCCACAACGACGTTTTAACCCATAATGACTTTTCGACGCATGACGACGTTTCGACCCATAACGACGTTTCGACCCATATCGACGTTTCGCCACATAAAGACGTTTCTACCCATAACGACGTTTCTACCCATAGCGACGTTTCGACCCACATCGACGCTTCGACGCAACGACGTTTCAGTCAATAACGACGTTTCGACCCATAACGGAGTTTCTACCCATAATGATGTTTCGACCCATAACAACGTTGCGACCCATATCGATGTTTCAACCCATAATGACGTTTCTACCCATATTGACGTTTCGACCCATAACGACGTTTCGAGCCACAATGGCGTTTCGGCCCATAACGACGTTTCGACCCATAACGACGTTTCGACCCATAACGACGTTTCTACACATGATGACGTTTCTACCCATAACGACGTTTCTGCCCATAACGACGTTGCGACCCATATTGACCGTTTCGATATATAACGACGTTTCGGCCCATAACGTGTATGTCTCTCAGTGTATATACACTGTGAGGTGTATGTCTCTCAGTGTATATACACTGTGAGGTGTATGTCTCTCAGTGTATATACACTGTGAGGTGTATGTCTCTCACTGTATATACACTGTGAGGTGTATGTCTCTCAGTGTATACACACTGTGAGATGTATGTCTCTCACTGTATATACACTGTGAGGTGTATGTCTCTCAGTGTATATACACTGTAAGGTGTATGTCTCTCAGTGTATATACACTGTGAGGTGTATGTCTCTCAGTGTATATACACTGTGAGGTGTATGTCTCTCAGTGTATATACACTGTGAGATGTATGTCTCTCAGTGTATATACACTGTGAGATGTATTTCTCTCAGTGTATACACACTGTGAAATGTATGTCTCTCAGTGTATATACACTGTGAGGTGTATGTCTCTCAGTGTATATGCACTGTGAGGTGTATGTCTCTCAGTGTATATACACAGTGAGTATATATCTCTCAGTGTATATACACTGTGAGGTGTATATCTCTCTGTTTATATACACTATGAGGTGTGTATCTCTCAGTGTATATACACTGAGAGGTGTATATCTCTCTGTGTATATGCATTGTGAGGTGTATGTCTCTCAGTGTATATACACACTGAGTATATATCTCTCAGTGTATATACACTGAGAGGTGTATGTCTCTCAGTGTATATACACTGTGAGGTGTATATCTCTCAGTGTATATACACTGTAAGGTGTATGTCTCTCAGTGTATATACACAGTGAGTATATATCTCTCAGTGTATATACACTGAGAGGTGTATATCTCTCAGTGTATGTACACTGTGAGGTGTATGTTCCCCAGTGTATATACACTGTGAGGTGTATATCTCTCAGTGTATATACACTGTGGGGTATATACACAGTGAGTATATATCTCTGTGTATATAAACTGTGAGGTGTATATCTCACAGTGTGTATATACTGTGAGGTGTATGTCTCTCAGTGTATATACACTGAGAGGTGTAATGTCTCTCAGTGAATATACACTGAGAGGTGTATGTCTCTCAGTGTATATACACTGTGAGGTGTATATCTCTCGGTATATATCTCAGTGTATATACACTGTGAGGTGTATATCTCTCAGTGTATATACACTGTGAGGTGCATGTCTCTCAGTGTATATACACTGTGAGGTGTATATCTCTCAGTGTATATGCACTGTGGGGTGTATGTTTCTCAGTGTATATAAACTGTGAGGTGTATATCTCAGTGTATATATACTGTTGAAGTGTATATCTCTCAGTGTATATACACTGTCAGGTGTATATCTCTCAGTGTATATACACTGTGGGGTGTATATACACTGAGAGGTATATATCTCTCAGTGTATATACACTGAGAGGTATATATATCTCAGTGTATATACACTGTGGGGTGTATATACACTGAGAGGTATATATCTCTCAGTGTATATACACTGAGAGATATATACCTCCTAGGGTACACACACGATGTTAGGAAGTATTTCTTCAGTCATAGAGTAGTCAGGCCATGGAATAGCCTAGAAAGTGATGTGGTGGAGGCAGGAACCATACATAGTTTTAAGGCGAGGTATGATAGAGCTCATGGGGCAGGGAGAGAGAGGACCTAGTAGCAATCAGCGAAGAGGCGGGGCCAGGAGCTGTGACTCGACCCCTGCAACCACAAATAGGTGAGTACAAATAGGTGAGTACACCGAGAGTTTACCTTAATTCTATTTTAAAGGTTTAAATTCTCTTTGGCGGTGAACAAGTGAGATACAGAATTAATAACACTCGTGAGGTCGATAGTCTTTAAACCTCATTATTCTCTAGTGGGAATAAGTCACTTTCTCTAACTTTTTTTTTTGGGGGGGGTTATTCTTTTGTGTAATGTACACCATGTATGATAATTGAACTTATGTGTAATTTCTTGTTTCAGGGTAAAGTGAAATACAGAGAGACTGTCACCGAGGGCTTTAATAACATGCCTCAAGCTTTTATTGGTCTCTTTCACGGTGACAACATCGGCAAGGCTATCGTCAGTGTGTAGGGCACCTGACTAGCCTGGGACAATGACAGGACATCCAGGGGGACATCGTTAGTGTCTAGGACACCTGACTAGCCTGGGACAATGACAAGATATCTAGGGGAACATCGTCAGTGTCTAGGACATCTTGTCATGTAGGGGGGTAATGGAATGCAAGGATACTTGGGGAATAAGGGAGTAAAGGGAGGGAGTAAGCAGGAGAGGTGAGTCGAGTGACAGGAGCGGAGGTAATGTGAGGTCACTGGTGACTAGACCATCACCTCTCATTACCACCACACTACTCACCCTCTCAGCACTTGAAATAAATTAATGAATAAAAGAATAAATAAAAGGACTGTGAATATTACTATTCCAGTCAAACACAGTTTATTATTAAGTCCTTGTACAATAATATATTTGGGAACAGGAGAACACTGTTGGGTTTAAATAAATGGCGATGGTACACATAAGCAGTGAGACAGGGAATACTGATGAAACAGATAACTTACAATATAGTTCAGAGGACAGTTCACCACAGGAACTCAGCCACACACTAGCCACAGGTCCCAAGACCTAAACAGCACGAGCTCTGCTCCAGCCAGTACTCTGCTCGGATTCTCCAACAGAGTCTCCACCAGAGACTCTCCAGCAGCCCTCTCCCGAGCTCTGCACACAGGCCAGAGCTCTGCCAGAATCTCTCTCTCTAGCTATTCCTTGAGCTTATATGGTCCTTCAGGCACCCCATACAATGAGGTATGCGCCACGTGTTTTGGCCGGACACCGAGATCTGACGCAGTCAATAACAAAAGACCTGAGACTTAAACTAAAAGACATGTCTGACAGCTATTTGCCAAGGCAAGGTGTGACCATTTACTGGTTAGTTAGGTTTCCCTCAGAGACCTCACAAGCATAGTGACCTACATCACAACCTGGCTAGCCTGGGACAATGGCATCGTCAGTATCTAGGACGCCTGGCTAGCCTGGGATAATGACAGGACACCCAGGGGAACATCCTCAGTGTCAAGGACACCTGTCTAACCCAGGACAATGACAAGACACCCAGGGGAACATCATCAGCGTATAGGACACCTGCCTAACCCAGGACAATGACAGGACACCCAGAGGAACATCGTCAGTGTCCAGGACACCTGCCTAACCCAGGACAATGACCTGTCATGTATCATAACACCTGTATAATACTGTTATATCTTATGTATTAACTAAATAAAGTCGAATGAAAATATAATCAACATTTATATTACAAATGATCCATACAAGGCTGGTCAAGAATGGAAAGTGTCCAGGTCGAACTCTGGGCGAGGCGGTTATATTTAGGGAAAACTGCCTAACGCCTGCTGCTGCACGACCCTTGTGGGTTTAGCGCTGAGTTTTGATGGTAATAATAACAATAATAATAACAGTACCTGTTGGTCCCCTTCCTGTTACGTAGTTGTAAGTAGGTACCTGGGTGTTAGGTGACTTGTGGGTGGCATCCTGGGAGAGGACCTCACGAATACACAGTGAGAGGTTCTTGGGTTATCCTGGCTTACTAACCCTTTGCATTTAACAATCTTGGTTTATTGACCCTCTGGGGTAAACAGTCCTCAGCTACTAGCCCTCCAGGGTTAACAATCGTGGGTTACTGTCCCTCCGGGGTTAACTGTCGTGGGTTACTGTCCCTCCGGGGTTAACAATCGTGGGTTACTGTCCCTCCGGGGTTAACTGTGGTGGGTTACTGTCCCTCCGGGGTTAACAATCCTGGGTTTCTGGCCCTCTGGGGTTAATAATCGTGGGTTAATGGCCCTCCGGGGTTGAGTCATGGGTTACTGGCCCTCCGGGGTTGACAATTCTGGGTTACTGGCCCTCCAGGGTTAACAATCGTGGGTTACTGGCCCTCTGGGGTTAACACTCGTGGGTTATTGTCCCTCCGGGGTTAACAATCCTGGGTTTCTGGCCCTCCGGGGTTAGCAATCGTGGGTTACTGGCCCTCCCGGGTTAACAATTCTGGGTTACTGGCCCTCTGGGGTTTACAATCCTGGGTTACTGGCCCTACGGGGTTAACAATCCTGGGTTACTGGCCCTATGGGGTTAATCCTGGGTTACTGGCCCTCCGGGGTTAACAATCCTGGGTTTATGGCCCTCCGGGGTTAGCAATAGTGGGTTACTGGCCCTCCGGAGTTAACAATCCTGGGTTACTGGCACTCTGGGGTTAACAATCCTGGGTTACTGGCCCTCCTCGGTTAACAATCCTGGGTTACTGGCCCTCCGAGGTTAACAATCCTGGGTTGCTGGCCCTCCGAGGTTAACAATCCTGCATAACAGGCCCTCTGCGGTTAACAATCCTGGGTTACTGGCCCTCTGGGGTTAACAACCCTGGTTACTGGCCCTCTGGGGTTAACAATCCTGGGTTACTGGCCCTCCGAGGTTAACAATCCTGGGTTACTGGCCCTCCGGGGTTAATTCTGGGTTACTAGCCCTCCGTGGTTAACAATCCTGGGTTACTGGCCCTCCGTGGTTAACAATCCTGGGTTACTGGCCCTCTGGGGTTAACAATCCTGAGTTACTGGCCCCTCCGTGGTTAACAATCGTGGGTTACTGGCCCTCTGCTTTTAACAATCCTGGGTTACTGGCCCTCCGTGGTTAACAACCCTGGATTACTGGCCCTCCGAGGTTAACAATCCTGAGTTACTGACCCTCTGGGGTTAACAATCATGGGTTAGTAACCCTCCGATGTTAACAATCCTGGGTTACTGGCCCGCCGAGGTTAACAATCCTGAGTTACTGACCCTCTGGGGTTAACAATCCTGGGTTAGTAACCCTCCGATGTTAACAATCCTGGGTTACTGGCCCTCCGAGGTTAACAATCCTGGGTTACTGGACCTCTGGGGTTAACAATCCTGGGTTACTAACCCTCCGAGTTTAACAATCCTGGGTTACTGACCCTCTGGGGCTAACTATCCTGGGTTACTGGCTCTCTGGGGTTTACAATCCTGGGTTACTGGCCCTCCGAGGTTAACAATCCTGGGTTACTGGCCCTCTGGGGTTTACAGTCCTGGGTTACTGGCCCTCTGGGGTTTACAAGCATGGGTTACTGGCCCTCTGGGGTTTACAGTCCTGGGTTACTGGCCCTCTGGGGTTTACAATCCTGGGTTACTGGCCCTCTGGGGTTTACAGTCCTGGGTTACTGGCCCTCTGGGGTTTACAATCCTGGGTTACTGGCCCTCTGGGGTTTACAGTATTGGGTTACTGGCCCTCTGGGGTTTACAATCCTGGGTTACTGGCCCTCTGGGGTTTACAATCCTGGGTTACTGGCCCTCTGGGGTTTACAATCCTGGGTTACTGGCCCTCTGGGGTTTACAGTCCTGGGTTACTGGCCCTCTGGGGTTAACAATCCTGGGTTACTGGCCCTCTGGGGTTAACAATCCTGGGTTACTGGCCCTCTGGGGTTAACAATCCTGGGTTACTGGCCCTCCGTGGTTAACAATCCTGGGCTACTGGCCCTCCGTGGTTAACAATCCTGGGTTACTGGCCCTCCGTGGTTAACAATCCTGGGTTATTTTCCCTCCGTGGTTAACAATCCTGGGCTACTGGCCCTCCGTGGTTAACAATCCTGGGTTACTGGCCCTCCGTGGTTAACAATCCTGGGTTACTGGCCCTCCGTGGTTAACAATCCAGGGTTACTGGCCCTCCGTGGTTAACAATCCTGGGTTACTGGCCCTCCGTGGTTAACAATCCTGGGTTACTGGCCCTCTGGGGTTAACAATCCTGGGTTACTTGCCCTCCGTGGTTAACAATCCTGGGTTACTGCCCCTCCGTGGTTAACAATCCTGGGTTACTGGCCCTCCCTGGTTAACAATCCTGGGTTACTGGCCCTCCGTGGTTAACAATCCTGGGTTACTGGCCCTCCGTGGTTAACAATCCTGGGTTACTGGCCCTCCGTGGTTAACAATCCTGGGTTACTGGCCCTCTGGGGTTAACAATCCTGAGTTACTGGCCCCTCCGTGGTTAACAATCGTGGGTTACTGGCCCTCTGCTTTTAAAAATCCTGGGTTTCTGGGCCTCCGGGGTTAACAATCTTGCGTTACTGGCCGTCCGAGGTTAACAATCCTGAGTTACTGGCTCTCCGTGGTTAACAATCCTGGGTTACTGGCCCTCTGCTTTTAACAATCCTGGGTTACTGGCCCTCCGTGGTTAACAACCCTGGATTACTGGCCCTCCGAGGTTAACAATCCTGAGTTACTGACCCTCTGGGGTTAACAATCATGGGTTAGTAACCCTCCGATGTTAACAATCCTGGGTTACTGGCCCTCCGAGGTTAACAATCCTGAGTTACTGACCCTCTGGGGTTAACAATCCTGGGTTAGTAACCCTCCGATGTTAACAATCCTGGGTTACTGGCCCTCCGAGGTTAACAATCCTGGGTTACTGGACGTCTGGGGTTAACAATCCAGGGTTACTAACCCTCCGAGTTTAACAATCCTGCTTTACTGGCCCTCTGGGGCTAACTATCCTGGGTTACTGGCTCTCTGGGGTTTACAATCCTGGGTTACTGGCCCTCGAGGTAACAATCCTGGGTTACTGGCCCTCTGGGGTTTACAGTCCTGGGTTACTGGCCCTCTGGG